CGTTGAGTACAATAATTTTAATAGTGCAAAATGATGAGAGTGGTGGATTGCTTATTGTATTAGAAAGTGGTAGATCGCTTATCATCCTTTGGTTATTAATTTGCTTTAACTTTACCATTTGGATCACAATTTTTTATTTGTTGGCATAAAGTTTTGGAATAGCATTTGATAATGACTTTAATATTTTTTTGTTGGTCGGCTAGATATTAATTAAGTAATTAAATTTAAGCAATTTTCAGCCATACTAGCATGTAGATTATCTCTGGTGGTTGTTTTTTCTACTAATTAAAAGTTGAGAAGAAGAGATATATAGTCGATGTTGTTCATAGTAAGCTTATTATTAACATCAATCGTTTTCAAACCATCGTGAAAAGTTGCATAATGGAGAATTGTATAAGAATTCGATCAGACAAATTAAGTTTGAACTTCTGTATTTATTTGCTTAGTATTCTTTCTTTCTTACTTCTTCTTTTGTTTTATTTTAAGTTTGCTTGCATTCTTGAAGATGAAATTACAAATAGTGAAGGAAGTTCTCAACGGTGGCAGGTCTCAAGTTTGACCAATCGAGTAATAAATTTGACGTCTAATTTATCTACCAAAGTTTCAAATCTAGTATTAAGGATGTAATTGACTAATTTTTATAATTCAATAACTGAGTATTCTAAAAAAAATAATTTAAAGACCTAATTTTCACTCAAGTAATAATTCAATGACTAAACTAACAATCTTATACTTCAAAAAAAAAAAATTGACAAAAAATTTATAAAGAGAGTTTTATTTTTAAAAAAAACTTCTTAAAAAATTTGTCGTGAGTTAAATATTTATACGCGGTGCTAACAAACAGCGGGCTACTGACAAATGATTAAAATATAATTAGTTATGCTAACCTATGAGGGTCACTGTCAATCATCTCTGTCTGGATTTGGAGGCTGCTGTAATCGAAGTCGAACGTGCCCGGCGGGATGAACTGCTTGGTGAAAATATTTGATTTCAAGTGTTGATTGGTCTGGTTTGGGGCCAACTGTCGCCAATCAACAGATTTGCACGCATTATCATGCATGTAAAGCAATTTCTTGTGCTTTTTAAGGAAAGAGATCAAAAGAGAATACATTTCTCTTAATCCATCAAGTTCGGAGATATAGATAGTTGAAATTTAATCCAACTGCGACAAACAACAGCCCATTTTAAAAGTTATAATAATTTAGCCATGAGATCAAATTTCAACGATCCGAATCCCTGAACTTAGTGGATTAGGAAGAAAAGATTAGGAGATGATCCCTTTCCTGTTTTTTAAGTGCAAGCTGGCTCATGGTGCATGTGAAGATATTTCCTTTGTTTATAAAAGTTTTAAAAAGGCGCTAAGTGCTAGTCAGGCAACGAATAAGAGTTTAGCACTAGGATGTTTGGGCGAAGTTTGGATGGGGTCAAGACGGTTTTTTTTTTTTATTTTTTATTTTTTTATTTTAATTAAATTTGTTATATAACATATAAATGAATGTCTAGTATATTTAAAAATACATAATGTATTAGAATACATAAATTATGAAATAAAATGACATATTAAAAATATGAGATACAAACATATAATTAATGAGTGCTCATCTAAATATTCAATAAGTCTCTTACAACTTATTGAAAAATAAAATGCAAATGAAAGTTATCTATTTTTTGTCTAAGTGAGAGTCATGACTAAGCAAGTATCTAGGTGAATCTAAGCAAGCGCCTAGGCAAGTTAGACGTGCATTGAGATAGGTCTAGACACCACTTATTCATTTCTAAATGCCTAAGATTAATTGAGGCAATAGTGCCTAAGCAGAAATTTTTAAAACATGAACTTTTTTTTTTTTTTTTTAAAGTGCAGGCTGCTGGCTCATGATCTACTTTTGGTTTTTCCTCCTTTGAATTGCTAGCTGTTAAAATTTATGCATGTTTGTGTTTCTTCTTTAAAATTTTAATTTTTTTCAAATCTTTGTGTATTGAATACTTGTGAATTTTTTAAAACTCATTTAAAATTTTGATTAGAATTTCCATAATTTATAAATTCTTTTAAAAAACTTTTAAATTTTTAATTGAGTACACCCCTTAATTAGTTGCTTACTTGGAACGGCACTTTTATGTAATTTAATGTGTAAACATCAATCATAATGGCCTATATTATCTTTCCCCATACATTCAAGGTTGAATTTGTTGCATACGTATATAATAGGATTATATATATAGAAATATTTATTGAATAAGTCTCACTTATGTTATATATACGTGGTTATCCAATAATGCTATTTGGACTCTATTTCAGACAATTTTGCTAATCATTCCTTCTATTAATACAAGTAGACCTAAGTTCGGTCCGGTGGTCGGTAAATAAGGTTTAAATAGGACCACTCATCACTACAAGAAGAAAGATGCAGCAGTCACAGAGAAAGTATGACTGCTGTTGGCGTAGCTATTTAAGCATCTAAATATTAATTTTCAATTTTTTAATCAAATATATTAAAATTACCATTAATAGGTGACCATATGCTTAATTGGCACGTATATTCAACGAAAAACTGTATTAACATTTCTAAATTTAACGCTAAGGTGCAAATTGGCCAGTTTTATGTAGTTTCGCCTCTTTAAGGGTTACATTGGGTGAAAAAATAGTTCAAGGGTCAAATCAACAACAACTTAATAGTTGATGAGGGTAAACTGGTAATTTACACAGGATAGTTAAGGAGTGAAATGATTACCTTACTCATATTTTAGTAAATGCAGGAAACTCAAGAATCAAAATGATTCCAATTCTTATTTCCTGTAAGTAAAGAAAAATACTTGGCTACTCAAAGATGAGTAAGAACTCCTGCTCGAAACTCTTAGTGTTTCAATCACAGAACTTTGTGTTTATGATCAGAATCGTTCATATTATGAATCACACTGTAAAGATCATCTCTGCAAAAAATAAATTAAAACTAAGGTCGTTTAGCCAATCTATTGTAGCAAATACATAAACGGTCCATAATGCTTTTACCAATACCGTTCATTTTTTTTTAAATAGTTTGATGGCTAAACGACCTTAGTTTTAATTGATTTTTTGCAGATGCAATCTTTATAGGGTGATTTATAATATGAACGGTTCTGATTATAAACACGAAGTTCTATAAATTGACAACGAGCAATTTTGAGAAATTTTAAGTAAGAGTTTCTACTCATTTTTGAGTAGCTAAGTATTGTTCGTAAGTAAATATGTCATAAGTTTGAATTAGATTTAGTTTTTTTTTTTTTTTTTGTCAAACAATTTGTAAGATTAGATGTTAAATTAGTTAGTTCGAACTCACGCCGTCATGCAATGACTCAATTCCTTTCCATCACTGTGGTAAAGGGTCACTTGCTAAAATAGTATTAGCATCCCACCTATTATTAAATACACCTCACTTAAAATTAAGTAGTAAATAGCTTTTATACATAAATATGAAATGACTATTTAGGCCACATAATTTTTTTTTTAAGGAAAATTAATCCTAATACACCTCAAATCATTTCTATATAATTTTCAAAAGGTTCTTCAAGCTCTCAAAAATGATCCCCACCCTCCGACAAGGCGAAAACCCTGCCATGTGAAATCTCTAAATAAGATCAATATAAATATAAAATATAAAAATAAAAGATCACAGAACAAACATCATGCATGAAACCCAAACTCCGAATTGCTAAATAAACATTCAAAAACCCGATAAATTGAACTGAGAATACGAGAAACCCTAAAAACCCTAATTTACAGAAACCCTAAAATTGAAAACAAAACATTTAATCTACTGAGATATGAAAATTGAATAGAGAAATAAGAAATTTTTTCTTTCGAACGTGATTCAACTTCCTCTGCTTCTTCCGCGCATTCTATTCGTGGTGAAGAAGAGGAGCTTGTGGCACGAACACACGCGTGAGTTATTTTTTTATTATTTTGATGTCGGGTGTAACATGAGAGTTGGGTGTATGCATAGCATGTAGGGTGTGAGAGTAGTATTAAAAATATGTTGCAGTGTAATTTTTTTGAACAAAAATATATTATTTATACTAAGGGGAGGAGATAGGTTAAGTCTCACAATAGGCTAACAATAATGTGGTTTAAATTCGTTTTTGGTGATAATCGAACCTAAGATCTCTCACTTACAATTAAAGATGAATACCACTAAATCGTAGTACTAGTTGACGTATGTGGGGGTGTATTAAATAAATTTTAATTTAAAAATAGATGTGACGTGTTTAAGTATGTAGAGTATAATCAACAAAATGTGGGGTGGGAATAGAAAAACCTTTAATCTCCATGAAAGTTTGAATCCATTCAAATTGAATTAGATAGGCAAATTTGCGTGGATGAAAATAGATTTTGAAACTCAAGTGTTTGATTTGTCAAATAAATTCTTTTTGTTGTTTATACAATGATATATTTACATGAAGATAATATGAATTTAGCTGCACAATAGCCACATCATCATATTTAGTTATTAAACTTACAAGTGATGAAGAATACTATTAATCAATAGTGTTAAGTGGCTACCAAATTAATTTGTTGTTTCATATTCGAAGTGCAAAAGTTCGTCTATCTTTGATATTCTATAATTGCGTAGGGCTTGTCTTCCTGTAGTATACAAAGTTACACACATGACACATCAATCTCTGTGCATTTGTCAACAAATACCGATAATAATTAAAAATCCAAATCCCATGTTCGGTTCATATTAATTTACTGTTAAACCCGTTTAAGTCTTAAATTATAGAATTTGATGCCTTGAGCAGCTCAGGCATATGTGTTTATAGTATGTATGTATATATATATATATATATATGTGTGTGTGTGTGTGTGCGTGTGTGTGGTACTAGGTCTCAATGTTCATATCCTCACATGTATGCATGGTGTTCTAAAACATATGTGATTACTATCTCTTCCCTATAAACTCCTAATATATTGTCCCTTTGGTTCTTCTTCTCTCTGTAAACGGCAGCCTCTCTATCACTATACGTCCATGGAGATGATCACCAGCTCAAAGCAACATGCAGCACTACTGTGCAGCCCAGGCATGGGCCACCTCATCCCAGTCCTCGAGCTCGGAAAACGACTTGTCACGCATCAAAACTTCACTGTCACAATCTTTGTCATCTCATCTCACACCTCTGATGCCGAGTCTCAACTCATTAACACAGCAGCAAACCCAAAACTCTGCCGAGTCGTCGAACTACCACTGCCAGACATTTCCGGCCTTGTTGCCCCAGATGCCGCTGTCGTGACAATCCTTGCGGTCACGATGCGAGAAGTACGACATGCGTTCCGGTCAGCCTTACGTGCCATGGAGTTTTGTCCCACCGTGCTAATCGTAGACCTATTTGGCACCGAATCATTTTCCATCGCCGATGAGTTTGGGATTCCAAAATATGTTTATATCCCTTGTAGTGCATGGTTTCTCTCCTTCATGATTTATGGTCCAACCCTAGATTTGGAAGTCAAAGGGGAGTTCACCAAACAAAAAGAGCCAATCAAAATCCCGGGCTGTAGGTCCATACTTCCACAAGTAGATGTCGTTGACTCTTTTCAGAACCGGACCCATCAGCAATACTTTGACTTTGTTGAGATTTGTAGTCAGACTTCGAAGGGTGATGGTGTTCTGGTGAACATTTGGGAGGATCTAGAGCCCAACACTCTTGCAGCACTTAGAGATGAGAAATTATTGGGCCGGTACACAAATATGCCCGTGTTTCCAATTGGGCCGCTCATGAGGCCCAATAAGCCAACCGGTTTGATGGGAAAGGTGTTTGATTGGCTTGACATGCAACTAAATGAGTCCGTGATTTATGTGTCGTTCGGAAGCGGAGGGACTTTGTCGTTCGAGCAAATGACCGAACTCGCTTGGGGTTTAGAGCTGAGTCAACAAAGGTTCATTGGGGTGATACGCCCACCTACCTTAACCGCAGATGGTGCCTTTTTCACCGGTGGAAGCGGTAGTGATGACAATAACCCAATAAAGTACTTGCCCAAAGGGTTCTTGGACCGGACCAAGGACACTGGGTTCATCATCCCTTTGTGGGCCCCACAAGTGGACATTTTGGTCCATCCAGCAATTGGAGGGTTTTTGTCGCATTGTGGTTGGAACTCAATCTTAGAGAGCATCACCAACGGAGTACCCATGATCGCTTGGCCACTCTACGCAGAGCAGAGGATGAACGCCACATTGTTAATAGAGGAGCTTGGTGTGGCAGTTCGGTCTAAGATACCACCGTGGAAGAAAGTGGTGGAGAGGGAGGAGATAGAGGAAATGGTGAGAAAGATCATGGAGGACAAAGAAGGTTTTGCGTTGAGAGATAGAGTCAAGAAGATAAAAGAAAGTGGTGCAAAAGCCTTGGAAAAGGGAGGTTCCTCTCACAATGCCCTTTCTCAATTTGCAAAGCACAGTGAGCTAATGTGCATGAACTTTGTCAATGGCGGAGAGTGATCATCATATGGTTCCTTCCAGGAGACAGAAGATGTTTTTGTGATAGTTTGTTGTGTTCTAATATGTGTGTTTGAGGTTGCTTTTAGCATTATGATGCATGAAAATCAGGAAGTGTGCTGCAAATTAGTTGCGTTAAATCATGTTTGCCTTGTTTCAGTATGATAATTTGTGTAATATACGTGACTATAATAATGATTGTGTAAATTACGTATAAAATATTATTTCTCCTTTACTTGCATACGCACATTACTCCTGTTGTCTTATGAATTCAAAGTTTTTTGGACTCGGTGCTTGTAGTATGAATCATTTAAATCATTTTAGAGATGTACTCTTGAAAATGTCATGTTATATAATTTTCCTTCTGATCTAATTAGAGTGACGTTATATTTTTAATAAACAATTTGATATTAGGAGAATGAAAATCGAACACAGACTCGATGCAGAATTAATATATTCAATTACTTGAACTACATATCACGTATTCGTTAAGAGTAATGATGAATAGATGGATATTCTTCAAATCACATTATATTAGAAGTTTGAGTTCACTTACTACATTAATTATAATAAGTTATAACTAGTTACCAATAAAAACATTATTTGTCAAATAATGCGAACTAATACAAAAATGTAGTTACAATAATATTTATTAAAGTTCTCCATTGACCTAAAATTAATAATTAGCAATAGATAAATCATCACACTAATGACCTAAAATTAATAAATTAATAATTATTAAGGTTGGCAACTATAATAAAAAAACTAAAACCTCATAATATATCCCATTTAGAAGACTTTTGGAATAATGGGCTTTCATGACAAGTGACAACATGTCATTGGTTTAAGGATTGAGGCCACCAAACAACTTGATAGCTTAGAATAATGGATAACATAAAGCATCGCAAGTTAGACACACGTACAATGCCTCTGCCAGTCAAAGCAAACATTCTATCGTGTAATAAGGATAGGCTTTTTAACTAAAATAATCATTGGAGTTTGTATAATTCTTTACTTTGGTCTCTGAAATTTGAAATCAATACAAATCGTCTTTGAGATTGTCTATTATCAATTATTTTGGTCATTCCGTGAATATTTATGTTAAATAACGATTAAAACAACAAAACCACCATTAATTTAATAAACAATAGACCAAAATGATTTGACAAAAATTATGAGTATTTATGTCATTTTATCCTTATTTAATGGAGATGTTTACGAAATGACTAAAACGATTGATCGTGGACAAACTTAGAGACCAATTCTATTGATTTCAAATCTCAAGGACGAAAATAATGAGTTATGTAAATCTTAGGGACCATTTTAAATAAAAGACCATAAAGATATAATTTTACAACATTACTTGTTCAATAAATACTTATTACGTTTTTAACAATGACCAAACGATACGAGACGAACGAGTACAACAAGCCAGCCAACAGGGAACACAATTTCAGCTAGTAAACAAGAACAAAAAGCAAGACAAAACAAAGCAAACCAACAGAGTAATCACCAACCGGAAAACCAGAATCCAAGGCCTCCAACAAATTAACAACGCGATTTAAGCCAACCAATCTTCCAAGAACCTAGCTAACCAGAAGGTTAGGACTATTATCTCACTTGTCGGGCACACTGAACGATAGATGAGCCGATTTAATGTGACCTGACTTACAGACTTTAGAACAACTTGGACAAGAATTGTCAGCTCTCCAAGTTTGAGCAAATCATATGCTGCATGTATATAAGCATTGTGACTCGTATGTTTTAGGGTTATATACCATATATTTTACACACACACACACACACACACACAACAACATTTGGAAGGATAAATCTAACTTAAAACTTTATACGGCTAGCATTGTAATGTATTTCAACGAATTAATTGTCTATTTTTTAGTCATTCTCTTAAAAATCATTTATACCAAAAATCATGAAATCCAAAACCAAATGCATAAGTAAATTTTTGCTCTTAACTACTAAAGTTAACAAGTGTCTTCAAAAATATTATAGCATCTCTATATTTTCCCTTTATTTTGCATTCACATGTGACGTGGGCACGAGAAGTGGAAGAAAGTCAAGGATGATTCCTAACATGCACTATAAGATATGTAAGGTCTCATGGCTGAAAATACGCTCTCATTATTTGAGTTCCTGAAAGTTTTATAATGAGTACTAATTTAACTTTCAGGAGGTGAGTAGGTTCTAACTTAAAAATCTAATTCAAATTTAATTTTGAATTTAGTTTTCACATCCACATCTCATATCAAACTATCCTACCCATTTGCAATTAAAAAGATAAATAAAATGTGCACACATGATGTAGGATTTAACGAGGGTTTGAGAAATCCTAGGGCTCCCAAATCAGGACAAAAACTAAGAAAAATGATTATATAATACTTACAAAACTCATCAACTAAACACATAGACAAGTAGGGCTGTTTTGTTGCTGCGTTTTGTTACTTGATCTCTCTTCAGTCTTCTTGTGAAAATGCGGTCGTCAAACACTTTATTCTTGAACTTTGCAAGATACCAACGTGATTATGCAAAATGTATGAATTAAAATAGTTTTTAAAAATTAATCAATTACAAAAATCACAAGACATATTTTTCTAATTAATTTCTTATAAAACATGAAGAAAAACAATATGAGAAATATTATTTTCTCGGGTTATTATACAAAATGGTCCCTGAGATTTGTATGATCAATAGAAATGGTTCCTGAGATTGTCCACCATTCATGATTTTGGTCATTATGTTAAAAACGATTTTGGGCAATTTTCAAAGCTTTGTAATTCAATCGTTTCTTGACCAAATTCGACCCATAATATATCAAAATGAAGGTAGGAAAGTGTAGAATAAGATTATACTATTTGGAAGCCCAGTGGTTACAGGAGATGGCCGGAAAATAGCCTGAAAGGTGACTGGTCCGTGGGAAAACTGGAAAACTCGCCGAAAACTGAGTAAACTTTAAACGTTCATAACTTCTTCAATACTCAACCAAATCTAGTGATTCAAAAATGAAAATAATACTTCTTGACGAGAGAAAGAGAATGGTACTTTTTTTTAAGGCTAACTCGCTGTGGTTTGGTTGGACAACGGCTCGAAAGTGGCTAACCATTTTCGAGCCGTTTTCCGGCCAAATCACGGCGAGTTAGTAGTAAAAAAAAAAAAAGATACCATTCTCTTCGTCTCGTTGAGAAGTATGATTTTCATTTTTAAACCACTCAATTTCGTTGAGTATTGAAGAAGTTATGAACGTTTAAAGTTTACCCAGTTTCCGATTAGTTTTCCAGTTTTCCAGTTTTCATACGGACTAGTCACTTTTCAGGCTATTTTCTGACCATCTCTGGCAACCATTGGGCTTTCAAATAGTATAATATTATTCTACACTTTCCTACTTTTATTTTGATATATTATAGATCGAATTTGGTTAAGAAACGATTGAGTTACAAAGTTTTTAAAATTGCTCAAAATCGTTTTTAACGGAATGACCAAATCATGGATAGTAGACAATCTCAGAGATCATTTCTATTGATTTTTAATCTGAAGGATCATTTCTATTAATCATGCAAATCTCAAAGACTATTTGGTATAATAACCCTATTTTCTCTTCAGAGTACATGCTGCACTCTTTACGTATGTGTGTGAGTGTGATACGGCAACAGCAGCACCAATTTTTTTATTTTTTTTGGGTAATCAGCAGCACAATGTTTGTCCTCTTTTGTCAAACCAAAAAGCGGCAGCCGACTTTTTCTCTTCCTTCAAAAATCAAAAGCTACAGCACATGTTTCTTCTGTCCTTTTATGCGAGTGCGAGGAAGAAAAATCAAAAGCTACAGCACATGTTTCTTCTGTCCTTTCGTGTGAGTGTGAGTGTGGGGAAGAAAAATCAAAAGCTACAGCACATTTTTCTTCTGTCCTTTTGTGCGGGTGTGAGGACAAAGGCTAAGATAATATTAGAAGATTAAAATTTTAATTTTAATTAATAAATTAAATGATATTTTATTAATAAAAAATAAATATCTTAATCGATATTTAATTAATAATTTAATTATTAATAACTATATCATTTAATTTACATAATTTAATTTGAAACATTACTCGAGAATAAATATGCACCCAATAAGATGAAATTGAAAATCATTTGATATTATCAACTTGATAAATATACAAAAATATCAAATTGGCTGCAACTAACTTTTCGAATAATGGCAGCCAAAACATTATTGGGCTGCTCCAAAAATATTTTAACCACTCAAAACGTTAGCCAAAATCAAATGAAGTTCAATGTCAAGTAAGACTTAGTCAAGCTGCTGGCAATAATCATTTTTTAGGTTCTCTTGTGTTGGCTTGTCGAGATTTACTTTGAAGATTTTGGTAATATGAACTTGGACATGTCTACAGAAAAAAAAAAAAAAATATTTGTGGCGGAGAATTTAACAACTTATAGTCTTGATTTAGGTTTAGGTTATTTTTATTTTGATGATACTCCTTCTTGTTCAATTAGTTTTATTCGTGATGATCGACTTGAGATGTCCAGGTCTAGATTTATTATTGAGTAGGTTTGTTTGGGCTAGCTTCTAGCCCTGTTTTACAACCAAAAAAAATAAAATATCAAGACCTACCTATATGAATGCATATACATGACGACCTTACTTGAGTGGATGTCTTTGAAATGCTTTTCCTTTTTTTTTTTTTTTTTTTTTTTTTTTTTGGTGATTGAGATCACGAGAGACAAATTTAGACTAAAATAATCACAATTGAAACACACACTAATCACAGACAGTACAACTCAGCGTATTGTTAAAAATTATCAATTTTGCACTAACAATTTCAATAGCTTCACAGGAACTACAAGTGCGTGTGTTGAGAATTGTACAACAGGAGTGCTCCAATATTTGTGCCTTCTTTCTTTTTCTTTTTAATTAGACTAATTAGCTATTCGGGGCTCCTCAATACACTTAGGGTGCGTTTGGTGCACTGGACTGTCTTAGACTAGACTAGCTGCAAGGACTAAGCTGGATTGGATTGGCTTAGACTAAGCAGGATAAAAATAGTGAAGTATTTGATGCAGTACTGGACTAAATCTCGGACTAAAATATTCCTTTGATTTTATAATTAAACCTCAAGTTCATTCGTGAATAAGTTCTATCAAAATTAAAGGTTGGTGTGGAGTCTCTTGTCTGGGAGGGGGTGGTGACAGCCGACTTGGGCAGGAAAGAGAATTAATTAAAAGAAGAAGATTATGGATTCAATTTCATTCCAATATTTCTCATATTTACTCATACGTAAGAAATTAAAAGAAAATATGAAATTAAATTAACTAGAAGACAATTATTGATTTGATTGTCATTGTTTTGTTTCTCAGTATCATATCGTAGAAAGATATTTTCAGAGGAATGAAAGAGATAAATATGACTGTACCTTTCACTGATGCCGGTCCTTCTGTAGCATTTCAGATGAATATGCCTCTTGAAATAATTCGCAATCAATGACACCCAGAAAACTCCCCTACAGAAAAGTATTTGTCAGCTCATCAAATAAAGATAAAAATTGCCAGGAGACTTGGCTTTCCTTTCCGGTTTATATCTGTCATCTTTGAACGGTGGCCACATAATAGCAAGAGGGGCGGTTGTCCTTTTAGTCGTAAAAAAACTTTATGAAACATTAATGACGCGTTTATTAATCTGTAATCAAATTGAGAAGAATTAGATTGAGGGGGAATTGGATTGAGAAGGAATTGAAAAGAGGTGGAATCAGAATCAGATTCCCGTTGAAGTTGTTTACTAAAACTGTTTGGAATCGAAGTAGGAATGATGTTGAGTCCATATAAGTTGTTTACTAATACACTTTAATCGGAAGGAAAACTAGGTTGATTACTATATTGCCCTTACATAAATAAATTATTTTCATACTAATTAATTAAATTAAATTCTTAATTAAATTTATATAATAAAATTCATCTATATAAGCATATATAAATAGGTTTTATTTATTTATTAAATGATGACAAGAATGATGTTGAGTCCATATAAATTGTTTACTAATTCACTTCAATATGAATGAAAACTAAGTTGATGACTAAATTGCCCTTACATAAATAAACTATTTTCATACTAATTAATTAAATTAAATTCTTAATTAAATTTATAAAATAAAATTATCTATATAAAAATATATAAATAGGTTTTATTTATTTATTAAAAATGACATAATGAGTGTCAAAATGAAGGGCAATGTTGGGATAATAAGAAATAAGTGAGGGTATAATAGGAATAAAAGATGCATTTCCGATTCCCTTGCCCTTAGGGAATTCAAATACCTCACAAAACTAAGAATCCCGTTCCTCCAATTTCAGGAATTGAATTCCTTGTTTCGTGTGGGCGCCACCACTTTTTTTATTCCTTAATATTTAAAGCTCAATCGATTATTTTGATTTGCTTGTTTTCCCTATTTAAAGCTCAACTAGTGCACTTGTGTTCAAATAAAAAAAAAGCCCAAGTGGTGCACTAAAGGCTAAAGCCATTGCTCTCCATCTACCATGAGCTCAAAGCCACATGCTGCCATACTTTGTAGCCCAGGCCTCGGCCACCTCATCCCCTCCCTCGAACTCGCAAAACGACTTGTCACCCACCGGAATTTCACAGTGACGATATTCGCCATCCCATCTCCTACTTCCAAGACTGAGTCTGAGCTCCTCAAGGCTGCTGCCACCCCCAAATTTTTTGACATTATTGAACTCCCACCGCCCGACATTTCCGGCTGTGTTGGCCCCAATGTTGCTGTCGCTACCCTCCTTGCAGTCATGATGCGTGAAGTACGACCTGCGTTTCGGTCAGCCATACTTGGAATGGAGTATTCTCTTCGTCCTACAGTGCTTATCGTGGACCTCTTCAGCACCGAATCTCTGTCCATCGGCGACGAGCTGGGGATTCCTAAGTACGTTTACGTTGCTAGCACTGCATGGCTCGTAGCTTTGACCGTCTACGTGCCAGTTTTTGATAGAGAAGTGGAAGGAGAGTACGTGGACCAAACTGAACCGTTGAGAATTCCGGGTTGCAAGCCCGTTCAGCCCGATGACGTGGTTGACCCGATGCTGGACCGGACTGACCAACAATATTTGGAATATGTAAGGATAGGTACTAATTTCCCAAAGAGTGATGGGATTTTGATGAACACATGGGAGGACTTGGAGCACAAAACAATAGATGCGTTACGGGATGAGGGACTCTTGGGTAGAGTGGCTAAGGTGCCAATTTATCCCATTGGACCATTGACGAGGCCGGTCCAATCAGCTGGTTCAACCTCAACCGGTCTAAGGGAGGAGGGCTTGTTTAATTGGCTAGACAAGCAACCTTGTGAATCTGTGATATTTGTGTCATTAGGGAGTGGAGGGACTGTGTCCTTTGAGCAGATGACAGAAATGGCTTGGGGTTTGGAGTTGAGTAAACAAAGATTCATTTGGGTTGTACGACCACCGGCTAAATCCGCAGATGCTGCTTATTTCACTTCAGGTAATTTTCAAACTTACCAAATATATATCATCAAATTTTATTTGTTATCTTCGTAGAAACTTTTATTTGTGCAAATGTACTAATTTATAGTATTTGATAAATTATTGATATTGTGTTACAATCGATACTTTCACTTACATTTAATATCTTTATTTAAGGAAACCAAGACGATGACCCATCAACATATTTGCCCAAGGGATTCTTGACCCGGACCCATGACGTTGGGTTAGTTGTGCATCTTTGGGCGCCTCAAGTGGACATTTTAAGTCATCCATCAATAGGAGGATTTTGGTCACACTCTGGATGGAACTCAAGCCTCGAGAGCATCACCAATGAAGTACCGATGATCGTTTGGCCACTCCATGCGGAGCAGAGGATGAATGCTACAATGTTGACTGAGGAACTTGGTGTTGCCGTCAGATCGAAAGTGCTTCCATCGAAGAAAGTGGTTGACAGAGAAGAGATAAAGGAAATGGTGAGAAAGATCATGGTGGACAAAGATGGTCAAGCAATAAGAGGTAGGGTTAAGGAGCTTAAATTAAGTGCTGCCAAAGCATGGAGCGTAGGTGGTTCATCATATAATGCAATTTCTCAAATATCAAGTGGCAATCAAAGAAAATGCTAGGAGAGTTGGAGAACATGAAAGCTCTTAAATATGCTTACTGTTTTCAATAGGCATTTTAACCTAAATAATCTTGAGAATTGTCTTAACTTCTCAGTTTAGTCCTTAACAATAAAAATCGACAAACTTTATTAGTGATTAAACTAAGGAGTTAGGTCAATCTCAGCAGCCATTTTAGTTAAAAATCCTTTTGAATATTGTATGATGAAGTATAAGCATCAATAAGATATATGGCAGAATGGTGTGTATTCTCTTACTATTGGGCAAATTACATGTGCAGAATAAATTTTGTTCTCCTTTTGTTCTCAATCACACCAATTGGCCTGGTCACATAAATATATGTATATAGGAAACCTTTAAGGGAATGAATCCCCAATTTTTTTTTTTTTTAATAAAAATGGGGATTAGTTGTGGAGTACACACCTGTTTGAACCCAAATTTACACTATTGGCCTGAGCAATCGAGACCGTAGAATGAGTAAAATTCTGAGCCATTGGATTGGAAGAAGGTTGAGATAATTGATTAATAATTTGTCTAGATAATATTATGATTTTAATAATCACGATGTTATCTGGGGAATTATTAGGAAAATTATTTCTAAAAATGTGGAGATAATTAAGGAGTCCAAAAGATTGAATGCTATCGGATTAGAAGATCGAAGATAAGTTTTTGATATCAAATTGCGTGCACTTGGTCTGGATAGTTTTTCAAGTTCTTCAATCGCATTAAGAAACCCAAATCATGCTGTTATTTTGCAATATTGGGATTCTATTCTAATGCATGTTTTTGGGGTTGATTTTGTGCACGTGGCTTAAGTGTCATACGGTTATGCATTTTCAGATAAGGTGTTTTGCATGTGTGCGTGTGGTTGGCAAAAAAGCATGTGGCATGCATGGTTGCACACGGGCAAATAGGTGGTGATAGGCTTTGGCCTATCATGAGATAAGGAAATGGCCACGTGGAATGCATCCGGAAGATAAGAAGGGATAAACATGGGCTTTTTGAATAACGATGATAATACCGAAGCAAAGTCAGGTGATGATGGCTTTCTGTCATTTGCTAAAGGTAGGCTCTCGCTTATCTAGTTTGAATTGAAATCAAATTCTACTAGTGAAGCCGCACCACATATCTGCTTCTATAAATGCAAGGCTACGAACACCATTCAAGGGACCTCCAATTCAACACATAACTACTCTGCGCAAACCTCTTAAACACTTTGAGATTTTTTTTTATTTTCTTTTTCCGCCAATACATCTTCAGTTTGGATAAACAGCACAGTGAAGGCAACCGACGAACATCTTCAGTTTGGATAAACAACACTATTGTCGTAGAACTATTCAACAACGGAGCACCTTCAGTTTGGATAAACAGCACTGCGTCGAGACCAATTGGTTATCTATTCAAGTCTCGGTTGAGAAGGATTTTCGAATATTTATTGGCAGAGGTCATCTCATTAGCTTTCTTGGCGAAGTGAGGTGTTACAAGTTACTACATTCGGCACATTGAAAGACGAATTTGATATTGAACTTCGCAGAACTAGCAGCCTTGTCTTCAGGCTCGAGAATCCGAAGGTCGAGACGTGTTCCTTCCTCGGCCTGCAGTCGCAAGATCAAGAAGTCAGCAACGCACTCAACGCAACATCAACAAATTTTACCCCTCGGCCAAGCTCGGCCGACGAGTTGGCACGCCCTACATCAATCGAAGGACATAGTTAGCTCATTAGTTACTTGGTTTGTGCGCCACATAGGCTTTGTAATTTTTAGGGTCAACAACACCAACTTTAATGATCCGAACCATCTATTTTTCAAGTTGCACCTTGCGGACTAGTTACCTTTCAGGCTATTTTCTGACCATCTCTGGCAACCATTGGGCTTTCAAATAGTATAATATTATTCTACATTTTCCTACCTTCATTTTGATATATTATATGTCGAATTTGGTTAAGAAACGATTGAGTTACAAAGTTTTGAAAATTGCTCAAAATCGTTTTTAACGGAAGGACCAAAATCATGGATGGTAGGCAATCTCAAAGATCATTTCTATTGATTTTTAATTTGAATGACTATTTCTTTTGATCATGCAAATCTCAAAGATTATTTGGTATAATAACCCTATTTTCTCTTCAGAATACATGCTGCACTCATTACGTATGTGTGTGAGTGTGATACGGCAACAGCAGCACCAATTTTTTTATTTTTTTTGGGTAATCAGCAGCACAATGTTTGTCTTCTTCTGTCAAACCAAAAAGCGGCAGCCGACTTTTTCTCTTCCTTCAAAAATCAAAAGCTACAGTACATGTTTCTTGTGTCCTTTTGTGCGAGTGCGAGGAAGAAAAATCAAAAGCTACAGTACATGTTTCTTGTGTCCTTTTGTGCGAGTGCGAGGAAGAAAAATCAAAAGCTACAGCACATGTTTCTTCTGTCCTTTTGTGTTAGTGTGAGTGTTAGGAAGAAAAATCAAAAGCTGCAGGCACATTTTTCTTCTGTACTTTTGTGCGGGTGTGAGGACAAAGGCTAAGATAATATTAGAAGATTAAAATTTTAATTTTAATTAATAAATTAAATGATATTTTATTAATAAAAAATAAATATCTTAATTAATACTTAATTAATAATTTAATTATTAATAACTATATCATTTAATTTACATAATTTAATTTAAAAACATTACTCGAGAATAAATGTACACCCAATAAGATGAAATTGAAAATCATTTGATATTATCAACTTGATAAATATACAAAAATATCAAATTGGCTGCAACTAACATTTCGAATCATGGCAGCCAAAACATTATTGGGCTGCTCCAAAAATATTTTAACCACTCAAAACGTTAGCTAAGATCAAATCAAGTTAAATATCAAGTAAGACCTAGTCAAGCTGCTGGCAATAATCATTTTTTAGGTTCTCTTATGTTGGCTTGTCGAGATTTACTTTGAAGATTTTGGTAATATGAACTTGGACATGTCTACAGGAAAAAAAAAAATTGTGGCGGAGAATTAACAACTTATAGTCTTGATTTAGGTTTAGGTTATTTTTATTTTGATGATACTCCTTGTTCAATTAATTTTATTCGTGATGATTGACTTGGGATGTCCAGGTCTAGATTTATTATTGAGTAGGTTTGTTTGGGCTAGCTTCTAGCCCTGTTTTACAACCAAAAAAAAATATCAAGACCTACCTATATGAATGCATATACATGACGACCTTACTTGAGTGGATGTCTTTGAAATGCTTTTTTTTTCTTTTTCTTTTTTTTTTTGGGTGATTGAGATCACGAGAGACAAATTTAGACTAAAATAATCACAATTGAAACACACACTAATCAAAGACAGTACAACTCAGCATATTGTTAAAAATTATCAATTTTGCACTAACAATTTCAATAGCTTCACAGGAACTACAAGTGCGTGTGTTGAGAATTGTACAACAGGAGTGCTCCAATATTTGTGCCTTCTTTCTTTTTAATTAGACTAATTAACTATTCGGGGCTCCTCAATACACTTAGGATGCGTTTGTTGCACTGGACTGTCTCAGACTGGACTAGCTGCAGGGACTAAGCTGGATTGGATTGGCTTAGACTAAGCAGGATAAAAATAGTGAAGTATTTGATGCAGTACTGGACTAAATCTCGGACTAAAATATTTTAGTCCCAATATTTTATTTTTTCCATTTTGCAATGGAACTAGACTTTGTAATTTGCTTGTATCCTACAAAACTTTGCCGTATTACCCTTACCTTCTCCCTCTCTACAAAAAACATCACCCACAACCTCTGCATACCAAACTGATTCGAATTTCACCTCCAGTTTTTCTAAAGTAATTTGTAGTTTGTAAAACCCATGCCATTTCCGATGAGATCCAACCGATTTATATCAATTTCGAGAATTTGATTGAGCCAAGCCGGGTCGACTCGGCGCAACCCATCTTCAAATCATGGCTCAGGAGGCTCTTTGACCAACAGTTCCCGAGCATGTTTAGAATATCTTACGCGCAGGAGAAGTCGACTGCTACTAAGTCGCCGCTGCAACAGCAGAACTACAGTACCAGCAGGATGGAGCAACTGTCGCCGTCGCTGCTGAGTTCAAGCCGTGCTCGGATCTCGGTGGAGCAGAAAGAGAAGAAAGCGAGGAGAGAGGAGGAAGGAAGGGAATTGGCGATGGGGAATGATGGTGGCTCTCGACATTTGTGAAAACATAGGAGCAGAGGAAGACGCGAGGGAGTTAGTCCCCGCTAATCCCATGGTTCTCTATGGGTCTGCTAGCAAGGGAGTTAGTCCCCGCGAGTCTCTTCTAATCTCATTAAACTTGGTCCTGGACTGTTAACAAAACGGGACTAGACTACTACATAATCCAGTCTAAGCCAGTGAGCTCAAACAAACACACCCTTAGAGTTAACCCAAATACATGCTTATTGGGTCCATCTCGTACACTGGGCATTTTTGTTTTACTTTTAAGTTTTAATTAGTTTGTACTTTTACACATCACTTTCACTTTATGACCTCGTCATCTTTCAGGGTGTTGGTTAGCATGCCTTGATATCTATATCCACTTGGATGTTAGGGTCGGGTGTGAGCCGTTTAATAACCATTTCATTTTCAGTTTTTTGTCTTTACTTTAAAAAAAAAAAAAAACTGAATTTTGTTTGGTAACTACTTTTAATTTTCAAAAAAATGAAAACTAAAAATCATAAAGTGAAAACTCAAAGCCAATTTTTGAAACTCAAAGCCAAGTTTCTTCTAGTCCAAACTACTGATCAACAAGTCTAAATTGCTTTATTAAGTTTTCAAAATTTGGCTTTGAGTTTTTACTTTGTGGTTTACAGTTTTTTATTTTTTTAATTTTTTTTATTTTTGAAAACTAAAAATATTTATCAAACAAGATTTCAGTTTTGAAAAAAATAAAAATAAAAATTGAAAACGAAATGATTATCAAACGGGCAAGTAGTTCCTAAATTTTCAGTTTACATTAAATTCATTTTTCCATCAAAATGAAAAAATAAAAATAAAAATCTTTCTTTGAACAACAGGTTTGTATTAGTAAAAAACGTGTATTACACTTGAAAAATATGGGCATAAACTGCACGTATAACGTATAGTTCGTTTGATTTTAAAAACTTTTTTTTTTTTTTTTTTCAATCCAGATTCTTCCACAACCGTACGCTGGAAGGGACCCAAGTTTTTCTTACAACATTGGGTGAGTAGAAAGACAGGTTGAAATTTAGACAAGACTTGGCCTTGATCATTTACTCTTGTTATAGTCCTCCTCTTCCACCACTTCTCACTTCTCAGCCAGTCTGCCGACAGTCGACAGCCGACAGACTCACCCTCGCTCACGCACAAGCACTTTGCAAGGTATTCACTTTCTCTTAATTCTTTAATTTCTCTCTTTTTGTTGTATTAGGCTCTAATACTCTTTAATCTGAAGGGTTTTGGTATCGTATGATTCAATTTGGGGTTTTAGTGTGAAATCAAATCTCATGTACCGTCGAGTTTTTTGTTAAATTTTATTCGCTTGAAATCCAGCCAAGCCGAGTTTCAAATCCTGACCTCAATTAGGTGAACCGAAAAACTCCAGCGGTTATCTTTCCTGATTGATCACACAGTTTCTATGAACATCTTTGTGCGCATCAGTCAACTAAATAAATCATTAATCAATTCCCGTTTATATGGTCTGCGCTTTCTACCGTCACAACCACTTCAACTAAAATTTAATCATTCCCTTCTGATTTTTCTAATCAATAATGTCTCTGCCAATTAATTCCTTGTATACTTGACTTACTCGTTGTATGCACCTGTATTTTCTTTGAGAATTTGAGTCTCTAACTCTCAACCTCCTCTGTAACCGTAGGTCCAACGGAGATCATGAGCTCCAAGCAACATGCAGCCATTCTCTGCAGCCCGGGGATGGGGCATCTCATCCCTGTACTCGAGCTCGGAAAACGACTCGTCACACACCAAAACTTCGCCGTCACAATTTTCATCTTCCCGTCTTCCGAGGCGGAACTCAAGGCAGCCGCGTCCACAAAAATATGTGACATCGTCCAACTCCCACCCCCGGACACTTCAAAGCCTACAAACGCGTTCGTAATGATGCGAGAGCTGCGACATGTGTTCCAGTCAGCCGTACGTGCCATGAAGTTCACCCCGACCATGCTTATTGTGGACCTGTTGGGCACCGAATCATTTCCCATTGCTGAGGAGCTAGGGATTCCAAAGTACTTGTTCTTTGCTTCCAATGCATGGTTTTTGTCGTTCGTGATTTGCTGTCCGACATTCGACAAGGAAGTCGAAGGAAACTTCGTTGACCACAAAGAACCGTTGAAGATCCCAGGTTGTAGGGAGTTACGTCCTCGGCTCGATGTCATTGATATTATGTTGGACCGAACCGACCAGCGTTACCATGATTTTGTTGGGATTGCAAGCCGGATCCTCAAGTGTAGTGATGGGATATTGCTAAACACGTGGAAGGAGTTAGAGCCCATTACTCTTGCGGCGCTTAGAGATGAGAACTTGTTGGGCAGGTACTCGACAGTGCCCGTTTATCCAATTGGGCCCATAATAAGGCCCAATGAGTCCAACCGTTCGGAGGGTAAGGTGTTTGATTGGCTAGACAAGCAACCAAATGAGTCCGTAATTTTTGTGTCATTTGGTAGCGGTGGGGCTTTGTCGCACGAGCAAATGATTGAGATTGCTTGGGGTTTAGAGTTTAGCCAACAACGATTCATTTGGGTGATACGATCTGCCACCGTAACAACTGCGCATGCGGCTTATTTTACGACTGACAGTGATGTTGAAGGCCCGTTGAAGTACTTGCCTGAAGGGTTCATTGATCGGACCAAGGACCTCGGGCATGTTATTCCATTGTGGGCCCCACAAGTGGAGATTTTGGCCCATCCATCAGTTGGAGGGTTTTTGTCACATTGTGGGTGGAGCTCAACCTTGGAGAGCCTAACCAACGGAGTGCCAATGATTGTTTGGCCTCTTTTTGCAGAGCAAAGGACGAACGCCACGTTGCTGACAGAAGAGCTTAGGGTGGCGGTGCGGTCGAAAGTACCACCGTGGAAAAAAGTTGTGGAGAGGAAGGAGATCGAGGAAATGGTGAGAATGATTATGGAGGACCACAAAGGCTTTGTTTTGAGGGAAAGAATGAAGAAGCTAAAAGAAAGTGCCTCAAAGGTATTGGAAGAAGGGGGTTCATCTTATAATGCTCTTTCTCAATTTGCAAAGCATGGTGAATCAATGTACATGCAACTTGCCAATGTCAATGTTCGAAACTGAATTGGAGGCATTGTTTTGTAATTTAATTATCTCAATAATACTTCTGAGCATTAATTCATCTTGTTTTGTGTTGTTGTATTTGAGGTTGCTTTTAGCGTTACGATAAATAAATAACTTTAATTAAGGTATCAAATTTGATTGAACTAACTTACTAGTAAAATGGCTTTTCTTGTTAAAGAATAAGGACCACCCTTGAGAGGGAACTTTTTGCATAAGGTCTAGTTAATCACTGGATTGGTGACAACAAGATAAGGTGTGTGCAAGCCATGACGAATGTGATAACTCAACACAATTGTTGACCTTAAAAATTACAAAGCCTACGTGGTGTGCAAACCGAGTAACTAATGAGCTAACTATGTCTTTCGATTGATGCAGGGGGTGCCAACTCGTCGGTCGAGCTCGGCCGAAGAGTAAAATTTATTGATGTTGCTTTGAGTGCGCTACTGACTTCTTGATCTTTCAATTGCGACCGAGGAAGGAACACGTCTTGGCCTTTGGGTTCTTGAGCTTGAAGACAAGGCTGCTAGTTCTACGAAGTTCAATATCGAATTCGGCTTTTAATGTGCTGAGTGTAGTAACATGTAACACCTCACTTTGCCGAGATGGCTAATGAGATGACCTCTGCCAATAAGGATTCGAAAATCCTTCTCGACCGAGACTTGGATAGATAACCAGTCGGCCTTGACGCAATGCTGTTTATCCAAACTGAAGGTGCTCCAGGAACAGCTGATTCTACGGCAACAGTGCTGTTTATCCAAACTGAAGATGTCACCGGCTACCTTCACATTAATGTTTATCCAAACTGAAGGTGTGTTGGTGGAAAAAGAAAATAAAAAAATCTCAAAATGTTTGAAAGGTTTGTGTAGGGCAATTTGTGTGTTGAATTGGACAGGCCCTCAAATGTTGTTTGCGACTTTGTATTTATAGTAGCTGTCTTTTGCTTGGCACAGCTTGATAGCTTTGTAGAGTCTAATTGTCGCTCTAACTTTGTAGAACATCACTTGACTCAAACTTGTGTCCCATCACCTTAGCCGTCCAATATCTTCAAGATATGATAAAGGCTATCTCTTAATTTTCCTTGAAAAGATTAAATATATTTTCCCATATATGTGGCTTGACCAAATGAACGCATCCTATTCCAACCGAAACTTCTCTTTCTCCACTCTATTGGTCCAAGTGTAACTATGCATGCATGATAATTAAAATACCATGGTTGATAGTTTTGCATTATCCGCAAAACCACCCTGATCCCATCACTTTACCTCATTTTGACTAATCCAAAAGGCATATCCATATGCTGATCACCCAATATTAATTGCATCCTTGTAGTATTGTTCTATGTGGTTCTGCATGCAAGATAAGATTCTAATGTTGCACGCATTTCACATAACCTCTTTTGCATGGATCTTTACGCATATCACAACTCTGTACACTTTAAGGATATTTTCAAGATAATTACTATGATAAAAAAAATGTAATGTTAAGAAAAATCTCTAATCATCTAACGGCCTCGATTATTTGAGCTGATGGTGTAATTTTGGGTTCAAACGTTGCCCCTCAGTTTCCTTGAACTTCGGCTCACAAGCCGAATGGTTAAGGAAATTAAGTCTTTCCAACCAATCAGGAGTACTTCAACCGTCTAGCTAATCAGAAGTACTTCGGCCGTCTACTTATCAAGCCGGGAGGAACCTATTGCTGTGCACTTGATTCTTAGTAACTTTTCGGGAGAACATGGTCATGGCTTCTTTTGACCAAAGAACAACCCATGATTGAAGAGAAGTGATAAAAAATTAGGCCCGATGTTTTCTCGACCTCCTTGAACAATATGTCTTCCAGTGTGTAGTAAAAATTGGTCACGTTGAGCTGACGTAGATCCTCCGTGAAAGGCGGGCGAGGTCGAGAAAAATCTTTCTTGGCAGCTCGGCCTACTTTTATGTGTGTGTGTGTGTGTGGGTCACGTTGAGCTGCGGTAGATCCTCCGTGAAAGGCGGGCGAGGTCGAGAAAAATCTTTCTTGGCAGCTCGGCCTACTTTTATGTGTGTGTGTGTGTGTGTGTGTGTGTACACACCTTGACGTGTTGGGCCAGTTCATACATATCTCAAAATTTTGCCCCCAAGAATTTCTTTTTATATTCCACATCTAGGCCGTTTAGAGTAATTATAACGAATTCAACTTCAGGAAGAAGTACTCAGTACCAATTTCTGGCCGACTTGAACCTTGTTAAGTATTCCATGGGCGACTCGTCTGATGTTTGAGCCATCCTAGCTAGTGATGAATCTGACATTTTGACTTGTTCCTCTCAACTCTGGATGGAATTAGGTGAGAGGTTAATGTACCAAACAAAAGCTGAACCTATTAGCGAGAAGTTGAATAGTTGCAGTTTATGGAAGTCACTATTAATATCTCCGTATTGCGCAGTGAACCGAGCTATATGTTTTAACGAAGACAATGACGATTCTTCAGCAAAAAGGCTGAAATCTGGGATCTTGAAGCCTTTAAGATATTCAAACCTCTCTATATAAGCTAGGTATAGATGGATGAAATTTGGGAACTTTAGCCCTTTTTTTAGGGCTGAATCGATCATCTTTTAGACCTCGATCATATTGACGGATGCTGTTTCCACTCCCTGGTCGGATCCGTCTGATCTATTGCTCGATCATCCTCTTTTGTCCAAGTTAATCGGTTGGAGCCGAGCGGATCCTGTCTCGGCTTACAGTGGATTACTCTTAAATGGAAGTTGTCGAGGCTGACCGAAGTGTCCATCTTCGAAGGCTTTACTGACTAATAGTTCAAGCAATTTAGTGTGTGTATCACCATTATTTCGTATTACTTCGCGCAAATTGTTCATGTTTTGACCGACCGACTGTTGGACCTGTCAGGATTACTCATCAAGTCGTCTTTGAAGAAATGACCTAGTCGGGGGATCAAAACCTTCTCCACCATCTTCGTCGTAGTCTTCCACTATCCCTTTGATTAAAATGCATGCGGTTTTGTTGGGAATTTTTGTGTTGCGAGGCTGGCCACTGATGTGAGAATTACTTGACACACAAATTAAACCCTCTTGTTGTCAAATTGTAGTAAGGATGCAAGTAGGGATCGTTCTAGACCGGGGATTAGGAGGGCTTGCTAAAACCTCTAAAATGACTTAGAAACATAAAAACAAAGTTTAAAACACTAAACTAGACTTAATGAATGCAAACCTAAAATTTAAAACATTCAAACAAACTAAAAGACTCAAAACAGCACAAACACACTCAAATCTGCCTAAAAACCACTTTCTGGGCAGTTTTGAGTACAAACACAAATTTGGACGAAATTAAGTTGTAACTTGACTCAAGACTCTTAAAAACACAAACTAAATGTATTTCTAACTAATCTAACACTTTAAAATAAATGGGGGATTGGTTTTGACGAATTTAAAATTAAAATAGAAACTTGGAAACAAAACAGATTCTAAAACCGATTTTGATGAAATAGAAGGATGAGAAACTAGTTAGAGGGTTCCTTATCCACACATGACCATATGCATATAATTTGATTCCCAGTTATGACTTCAACAAACGATGAATGACAATGCTCCAAGTTAATTAGGTCCGCTTAAATTAACTTTCAGATTTCCCTAGATTCATTGGATTGAATGGAATACGCATTACAACCAAATTATTCTTAATCAAAGTCCCTAACTATGGAATACGCATGATAGAGACATTCAACAAAGATCATTAAGTTCAACGGAAATCATAAACATCGACTAGGCATTCATAACTATGGAATACGCATGTTAATCCAGCCTAGGGTTTACTAAACACAATCGTGACTAGCGATTTTTACTACTCATGAATATAAGTTCATAACGATTAGGTGAAATTCCCTTATATCCTAGCATCAAGTTTAGGCATGCAAATTAATTGTCGATCCTCAACCCACATACATAAACAAGTTCTTAATCAAAACAGAAAAGTAAACCACATCTAAAGTTCATGAATTCATAACTGGAGTAAATCAAATCATAACCAACATATGTCCATGGCTTCAAATTCGCCCCTAACTAAAAAGAAATTAGTTCCACATGTTTAACATAATTGAATAACAAGTTAAATTAAACATGAAAACAGAAACAATAGAAGAAAGAACTCCAAACACTCCAATAGTTGCAGATTGCATGTGCAAGGTTTCTTCCTTCCTTTGGACTGCACGGCACTACTCCTCCTCTCCTTCAATGGTGGCGGCACAAGGTGGTTATGGTGGTGGGAAGGTGTGGCTATGGTGGATGAATGGTTGCTTGGATGGAAGGTTGCGGCAAAGGTGGTAAAAGTGGCTGGAATTGTGTTTCTGGGATTTTAGGATGTGTAGAATGGTGTGGCTAGATGAATGGACGAAAATTGGGTGAATGAGTGATCCCCCTTAGTGCCTTGCTGCAAAGCCTTATTTATAGGGCTAGGAAAGGTAGGAGACAAAGTAGGACAGCTAAGACAAGGTAGGACGGCTAGGAGACAAGGTAGGGCGGCTAGGAGACAAGGTAGGACGGCTAGGAGACAAGGTAGAAATTAGGCACCATGTGTGAATAGATAAAGCCTTCTAGAAATAAGGTTTTTAGGCCCCTTTGCAGCTCCCTAACTGAATTCAAGCCTTCAAATTCGTCCATCCTCATGCCTCCATGCTTGCACTATCCAATCTTGACCCAAAAATGCTCTAGAATGCTCCAAATTGCTTCTTTTTGCATACTTTGACACTAAAACCTGAAATTGCACGAAAATAACTTTAAACACTATAATTAACATATTTTAGCTAATTAAATGCAAGAAAACAAGCTAACTAAGTCGTATAAATATGCTCCTATCAATTTCCCCCACACTTAGCTTTTGCTAGTCCTCGAGCAAAACAAACAAACAAAAGAAACAAAACAAACAAACTAAACCTTCCAACGTTTGCCTCAGGGATTTCCAATGATACATAACATGCCAAAGATCATTATTCCCACAGATTTTAGTTATCCCTACTCTTGAGCATATACTTAATCATAGTTACCATTCACTAGCTCACATTTAATCGTTTAAA